TCCCACCCTTGCTGACTTGCCCACCCTCGTCCCCGGTGTCCCCTTCTGCTGCATAGGCCTCCCTTTTGTGCTTCCCTAAACCCCAGGTTCTTTCTCCCTTGGGGTTCTGCTTGCTTGCTCCTCCTGGCTGCTCTCCCTTCCCGCCCTCCGTGGCTGGTATCCTCCCCGCGCCTGCATCTTGGCTGACACATCACCTCCTCAGACGGGACATGCCACCCTCTACCCTTCACTGGGTTTTACCTCTTGGCTGGGTGCCACTACCAGAAACTTGCACGGCCCATCCCGCATCCCTCGTGTGACACCCTGCCAGAAGCCTGAGTTCTGTTCTCAGTCTGCTGTGTGACCTTGGGCAGGTCACATCCCCTCTCTGGGCCTCGGTTTTCCAACTACAAATAAGGAGGACCAATGGCCTCCTGAGGGCTCCTCGGGTCTATGAGTGGTGGATACATCACACCTGGGGGCCGGGACAATGGGACAGGGGCCGAGGGGGAGTACATGGGACCTGCCTGGGAGGCCTGAAGGAGGGTACTGCCTGACTTCAGGGACTTGGTGCTGTTGACTTCATTCTTCCAGGGAGTATGTACTGAGCACGTAAAGCACGCCAGACTCTGTGTCACGCACTGGGAGGGGAAGGAGAGGTTCTAATAGGATTAGAGAAGCTTTGAAAATAGGTCTTCTTTGATCTGGACTAGTAAATAATTATAAACACCAGTTGGCTCCTCTTCAAGAAGGGACCCGTGGAACAACAAGACTCCTGCCAGCTCCCGTACGCTGGGCACTTACTCCGTACCGGGCTCCTCTCCGTGCTCGCGCAAACCACCTCACTGTCCTCACAGGCACCCCGCATGAGGGCTCCGATGACCCCCCAACAAGGAAAATGAAAACCAGAGACGTGAAGCGATTCACCCAAAGTCACCCAGCCAGTGGCGGTTAAAGCCGGGCTTGCATTCGGGTTCGGACTTGCAAATCCCCCAAAAACCCGAATAAAGGTAGCAAGGTGCCTCTCGCAGATTCGGAGGCGGTGGTGGGGAGACAAACTTTTGGGTCCCATGGAAAGTCAGATGGGTCCTGAGCTCAGAGTGGGGGCTACGCAGACCCCCAGGGCCTTAGGCCCCCCAGCACCACCACCCTGCTTGGTAGGACCCTCTATTCTAATGATTCCATCCAGGGGCCGGGGAAGTGAGGACCCCCAGAGGCCCAGTCAGGCCAAACCCAGGCTGGGGGAAGGGCCTGGGCTCCCAGAGGGAAGTGTCACCTGACTTCAAGCCCTCTGGAGTCAGCTTTCTAGAGATGCCGGACAGACAGCAATGCACCTGCTTCCAGCCCCAAGGGGGGAGGTTGGAAACAGACACAGTGTTGGGAGTCTGTGGCCAGAAACCAGAATCAAGCCACTGGGAGGGGTGGGAACATCCCTGAGTGGAAGGGAGAGAGAGGACCCAGAGAGGAAGGACTTGTGACCATGTATAGGTCTTTCCCTTCTCAAGGGCACAAAGCAAAAGCTGCCCTGAGTGTGGGGAGGACACCCCCAGACACAGCACTTCTGGGGTGGGGGGGCATTCGGGGTAAGGATGTCCTGCCCAACAATTTGCACCTCAGGCCACAAGCCATGGGCTGCCACCACCTGTCCCAACCGACCAGGAGATAGGGAAGCCAGGTGGGGACCCAGTGAAGTATGGGGAGGCCCTCCCCTGTGCTCAGACCCCTGCTGGGTCAGAAGAGGGAGGGTCCCCTCTCCCCTCCTCCCCTGCAAAGCCTACTTCGTGTCCTGCCCCTGCCACGCCCAGCCAGCTCTCGGAGCTTGGGACTTTTGATGTTTACTTTGTTCTCTCCACAGTTCAAAAGGAGCTCCGCAGCCCTAGCACCAAGCCCCGACTTAATCTGCCATCCCGCGAGCTCCCAGCTGGCCAGTTAAGGCGGTTAAGATGCTGGATTAGGGCCGGCTTTACATAACAACGCAGGAGCTAAAGCCGTCCTCTCCAGGGATGGCTAAAAGACTTCTTTTTATCTTCACGCCTCAGATGGCCTTTTTTCTCCCTTAAACAGCCCTCCAGTCCGCCAAGAGGCAATGAACTTGGCCAACAGGAAGACAAAGAAGAGATTCAGGATTCGGAGTGCTCTAGCTAGGCCCCGGGCCCAGGTGGATGCTTCTCCGTGGCCGTGGCCGTGGCCATGGGTGACCACGGAACCACAGACAGTCATGGGCCCAGCATCCCTCCCAGGAGTGTCGGAGCCCGGCAGGCCGGCCCAGGTGCAAACCTGAGCAGCCTCTCTCTTCCCACCTCATCTACTCATCGTTTTCACTTTTTAAATCTGCTGTGAGTCTTTCAATTCATTCTTCTTGGGAAAGTTAAAACATTCATCCCCGTTAACACTACAGTCCTCTTGGAGAGCTCTTTCCGGTTTTAGTATCCTCCTCCCAGGTCCGAGAGGAGCTCCTATCTTTGCCTGTCGAGCCCTCCAGCCACACAGTAACATGCATGCAGTCTCCACTCACACACGTAGGAAACACAGAGCATCGTCTTGTGCCCCTTTTTACGTAAAACATACCGGCCACGGCACAATGCGTGTCTCTGCAGCCTGATGTTCTATGTTCTCTGCTTCTGTGTAAACTGTTGTTTGAAGAAAGAAGCCAAAAACCTAGACCACCAACAACTTCGTCCGACCCCCTAGTGGGGAAAGTGAGGCAGGAAAGTGGCTCCCAATCCCCTCTTTCCTGAGTGGTGGCACCTGGACATCACCAGGGACTAGCAAGGTGCTCGGGCCACCCTCTGAGCCTGGCATGCAGCTGGTGGGCCATGGGATCAGACCCAGTGCAGTCAAGCTGACACCGTTTCTCCAGAAGGAGCTGGGACACCTTGGGCACCCCACCTTCATCCCCGATCCACTGGCCAATGTTTGTAAGCGCTGCCCGCCCCCCACCGCAGGGCTTCCCTCTCCCTGCGAGGAGCCCACATCCTCTGCGCACCCACAAAGCCCAGCTCCACGTCCCCACTCATCATGTGACAGAGGGCGAGGAGGCCCAGAGCTGGGGGGACCTGGCTGCCATCCACAGCGGGCTGTGACCAGAGCTGAGGGGAGCCCGGTCTAGATGCTCCTCAGGCCGGCGTTCCTTCTACGTCATGGCAACAGGAGCCACGCTCCGAATGCAGACAGCGAACAGAGTAACCCCCGCTCCAGAGGGAAGTAGATTCCACGGGTAGGCCATTCCGCGTCTGTTTGCAGGGAAAGACCTCTCATTTGAAGTCAATGGCACCGTTGTAAACGGAGCCGCGATGGACAGAGAAGTGCCTCATTTGGGGCAGTAATGAGGGGCTCAGTACAAGAGGGACAGAGAGACGACGACTGGAGGATGGGTCAGCAGATGAATGCATGAAGCGATGAATGACGGGGGACGAACACTCAGGCAGAGGAGGGGGTATGGATGCCTCAGAACGGCCGGGCTGGGGGCCGGGGGACAGGAGAGTAGGGAGACCCATGGATGGATGGATGGGTGGGGCGTGGCCAGCGGGTGGGTGGGTGGTGCGTCGGTGAGGGGTGAGGGATAGGTGAATGAAGGGACAGATGGACAGTGGCTGGTTGGAGGGGTAGCGAGTGGGGGATGGAAGGAGCAGGTGGAGGGATGGATGAACAAGGGAATGAACTTGGTAATGAGTCACTATGCGAATGAGCAGGAAATGAATATATAACTGGAATGAGAAACGAAGCCCATGGAATCAATGTCTGGGGTCACTTGAACCACCAGGGCTTATATCCTGCCCAACTTTACCTGACCCCCCAGATCTCAAAGCACAAACTCCTGGCATCTCTCTATGGAGCCAAAGATGAGAGGGAAGGCTTGGCGGAGCCAAGGGGAATGACAGAAGCAAAGCAGATGCTCTGGGTGCCATCACCAGTGCTGCAGGTGAGTGGCCGCAGCCTGCACAAAGTCTTCCGTCCATGGGACTCCCCCCAACCCTTGATTCAGGACCAACTCGTATCTGAGCAAAGTGCGATAGATCCCTGAATCCCAGCCTGCCTCCAACTCCTGGGCAACCGAGTGAATCTCTGGAAACAGTCTTCTTCTTCTGCTTCTCCAAGTCTAACGTGCACACGAGCTAGGGGACCTCTTTGAGGGCAGATGGCCGGGGGCTGACAGTTCACAGGAGGCATGCGGCCACAGTCCTCAGGCCTGGCCCAGGCTCCCCTGGAGAAACTCTTGGCACTGACTGCTCTCCTCTCAAGGCCCTAGAGGGCCCCAAGGCCTAGATCCACCCCCACAGCCCCCCCCCGCCCCCGCCGAGCTGCCCGTTCTCACCTCCACCGCCAGGCTCCTACCAACCTAAGGCTTCCCCAGTTCAGTGATGTTCTTCCCTGAGTATAAAATGGAAATGCCATCCCACTTAGCAAATGCGGCCATCTGTCCTTTGTACCAGCGCAGGGAGTCAAGCAGGGAGAAGGCTCTCATTCCCGCTCTCTAAACGTGGAAACCAAGGCTCTTCTAGGAAGGTGGCGCGCCCTGCCCGAAGTCAAGTGAGGGCGCCTGTGGCCCCGCCGGCCCTCTGCTCCAGGATCCTCGTCCTTCTACAATAGGGGCCTCCCCTCGAACAAAGGCAAGAGCAAGAGCAAGAGCTACAGACCTGAGAGGGGAGGGGGCAGTGGGGGGCTGTTGGTAGGCAAGCTTGTGCTCCAAGTGAGTAATGCGAACTGAGAATCGGGGAAATAGAATGGCTACTTTACGTAGTGCTTACCTTATTGTCACTCCCCCCAGTGGGAAAGCTGAGCTAAAACAACGTATCCAAGGTTCCCCAGCCAATACGGAGCAGGGCCAGGACGTGAGCCTCAGGAGCCTGGCTCCACTCTGGGCTCAGACCTGTGAAGAGTCACACTCCCTTCTTGCTTGTCACCCTACCATCCGCACTGACAGTTGGGGTCCCATCCTCCACCTGGTCTGCACGTGGTAGACCAGATGGCCCCTTTCCCATCTGACTGTGCCCTGGGAAGAGAGTGATGGATTTCAGTACCTTCTAGCCGAAAGTCTTCCTCCTCCTCCTCACTGAGCGTTTCTCTGAAAACATCACCCACGAGCTCCTAGAGGAAGACAAAGCAGGGACGTTAAGTAAGTATCCGACAGAATCAAGGAGGAACCCAGTATTGGGATGGTGTCCCGAACGTGTGCCTGGCTGGTCACAAGGAAGCAGGGGTCCTGCCCTGATTCTTCTGATGGGAATTTAGGTCAACTCTGGTGGAACCTGTTGCTTGAAAAGTGGATTGTCACCATGCTTTTTAAGAAGTAGCTTTTCTCAGCCTACGGCTCACTATGATACTGCACGCTTCTCTCTCAGAAAGGAAGTTCCACGAAAAAGACAGAGACAAGATGAGAAAAACGTCCTTCCTCTATCCCTCACAGTCAATTTTGGTGGACTCAGGACCAACAAGCCTCCCCTGTGGGCCCCAGGAAGGGATCTCAGTCTGATTCCTTCCCCCAGCAGAGGGTCCCAGGCAGGCTGTCTCCATGGGTTTGCCAAGAGGGCCTGGTGTGGGGGCGCCTGGGTGGCTCAGTCAGTTGGGTGTCTGCCTTCGACTCAGGTCACAACCTTGGGATCCTGGGTTTGAGTCCCGCCTTGGGCTCTCTGATCAGTGGGCAGTCTGCTTCTCCTTCTCCCTCTGCTCCCAACTTGTGCTCACTTATACACACACACTCTCTCTCAAATAAGTAAATAAAATCTTAAAAAAAAAAAAAAAAGAGGGCCTGGCATGCACGGGAGTGGGTCTCTACTGCCCCTAACAGGACTCCCCTGACTCTCCAGCATAACATTCAGCAAACTGCACGCTCAGCCTCCTGAGTGATCTCTGGACATGCCTGCCACCTCTCCCCCGTGCACACACCTTCTAGAACCTACCCTGGTCTTTCATTGCCTTGCCCTGTGCTCTATGTGAGTTCAGGACGCCCAGTGGCCAAGTCGCTCCCAACCAGCCTGGTCAGGCTGCCACTCAGGCACTGTCAGGTTGACACGGGGAGTCTGGTTAGTCCACGGGCTGTGAAGTTTCTGGAATGTCCACAAAGGGGCTACCTATCTTGCCCTACCCCTGCAGGAGGACCCTAGATATAGAAGCAGCAAGATCAGCACTTGTCAGACCGTCTTTTGCATTATTGGGATTTTGCCATAAGAGTTTTGTGATCAAAAAAAAAAAAAAAGATTGTTTTCATGTCAGACACGATCCCTTACTGAAGCGTTTACTATGGTAACGGACACTGAATATCCACGCGGTTAACTTCTACTGCATTCTTCAAACCTACTGAGACCATGGAGTTTTTTTGTCTCAAAAAGCATCACGTGGGATTCGTATTCTGAGGAACCCACTTTGGGAAAGGCTCCTCTTCCGGCAGAGAGACAAAGTTTGGGAGGATTACTCTGCCTTACCTCTTTTGATGCCACAACAATGCTCCTGGCAGAGCTTCTCGGAAAAACAAAATGACAAGCAATAAAAAAAAACAAACCCAAATTCAGCAGCTGTCACCAACTTCTCTTTTTGGAAAACAAAAACAAAAACAAAAAGTGCAAAGAGAAAGAAAAAGAGAATGCACCCTCTCTTTGAAAAATTCAAGCACCTCAGATACTTAACAGAAACACCAGTGCTTATCTTGATGAAAGAAACCAGAATCATGCTTGGTAGAGCTGCTCTTATCAGCTGGATACAGCTGGAGAGAAGTCTCTTGTTTTGTTTTGTTTTGTTTTGTTTTGTTTTGTTTTAAAAGGATCAACAGCTAACATTTTATGGATTAGGGCTGGTGTTCTCCATTCTACCTCTTCTTCCAAATCACCTCCCCCCTCTGGCAGGTTGTGAAAATGTGGTCATTCAGAGCCCTGACGTCCCACTGACTTCAAAACCAGGCTCCTTGATTCCTGGAGCCCAGGCGGCTTCTCCCCCCTCCTCTGCCAATTATCATAATCACCGAACACTTCCTGGGCTTGTAAACTGGCTGTTTTTGTTAACAGCACCGGAGTTGACAGGGACGCTGGGAGCGGGTGACAGGGAAGGCACGCGCTGGGGCGGCATCATTAGATGGCTGGGACACTCCAGCAGCCAATTAGAGCCCATCTTTCATGCCAGAGGAAGACGGATGCTGCCTCCCCCAGACAGGCTGGCAGGCAGCACTCCCTCCCAGGCGACCGGCTTCAAGGGGACCACGCTGAGGTCTTCTGGAAAGCAGGGATCAGTGCTGACCTCGGCCCGCCACCCTGATCGCTCCCAGTGAGGCAGGCAGGACCTGTCAGGCACCCCTCCGCGAGTGCGCGTATCTTCCTACCGGCACGCTTGGAGGCGTTTAGAGACTCCGACGCCATCCCCAACAAAGCAGCCGTCTGGAACCCCGATAACGATGCCTTGCGGTGTGTATCATACATTCTGAAGACAGTCTGCGGGGAGGACCGACCTCCCTGACACAGTAAAGGCATGTCTCTGCATAGGAAAGCAGAGCTCTGGCAATTTCGGGGGTCGGTCTCTTCGGGCTAAACCCTATCCTGCTCTGTAGAACCGTAAAAGCTCCCCAGCACCAGGGTCCACTGACAAAAATCCATCTCCTCCGGGATGCGTGGGTGGGGCAGTCGGTTGAACGTCCAACTCTTGGTTTCGGCTCAGGTCGTGATCTCCTGGGTGGGGAGATCGAGTCCCAACATGGGGCTCTTGTGCTCAGCGGGGAGTCTGCTTGAGATGCTCCCCCTGCCCCTCCCACCACTTGCTTGAGCATGCGCATGTGCTCTCTCTCTCTCTCTCTAAAATAAATCTTACGGGAGCCTGGGTGCCTCTGTCGTTAAGCATCTGTCTTCGGCTCAGGTCATGATCCCAGAGTCCTGGGATCAAGTCCCGCATTGGGCTCATCCGGCTCCCTGCTCAGCAGGAAACCTGCTTCTCCCACTCACCCTGCCTGTGTTCCCCCTGCTGTGTCTCTCTCTGTCAAATAAATAAATAAAATCTTTTAAAAATAAATAAATAAAATAAATCTTTAAAAAGAAATTTCATTTCATCTGCTAAACCAGATGGTCCCGGGAGTGCCATGTCTGCGGTCCTCAAGCTTTGAATCACTAAGCCAGAGGCAACGCAGTGTTGAGCCAGACACAGGAGCACATCCTGATTCCATGGCCTCCCTCACCTTTGGACATGGGGCCAGCCACTGCTTTCTAGGAACCTCAGTCTATCTCTCCGTAAAATGGGCACAATGATAAACCACAGCAATGACAGGACCGTGGACCTTATTGGGCATCTCCACAGTGCCAGGCACCATGAGGGGCCGCCTTGTAAGTAAATTTATTATCTCCCTCAGTCTTCACCATTGCCCTGCACTTTCCATCTCTCCAGGAATAAACGCTCATAAAAATGATCTGCAGTTTGTAAAGTGAGAGTTATAATTGTTACGCTTTATTTTTTTCTACAAAGAAAGAATCGTCAATCCTAAAGGGACAGAGGACACAGGAGATAAGGGGACTGAGAGCCAATCACCTCATTTACCAAGCACTCCCGGTGCATGAGGCACTGACCAAGGGAATCCTTCCAAGAACCTCCAAGTTCCCAAAAATCCCTGTATTTAAGCGAGGAGGTGGCTCCGCGAGGCCAGGTGACCCGCTCTGGGTCCTCAGCAGAGCCAAGATTTGAGCCAGTTTTCTCAGATGCCCGGCCCGAGCTTGGACAGTGGAATCAGGGCTTCTGTGGGCCTGGGGACAGAGGCAGCCAAGAGTCCTGGCACTTGTCAGGGACCAGGGACCACACTTAACAGACGTTCAAGGAGAACAGCCCCGGCTGCACCTCCATGGGCGGGGGCCCAGCCTCCTGCTGCTGCTGCAGGACTCAAAGGCCCACAGCTCCTCCCCACGAGGTTGGGGACTCAGCAGAGCCCTGGCCGGGGACAGAGGGCCCACAAACAAGGTGTGGGGCCAGGCCCTCAGGACCATCCTGCAGGAAGGCACTCAGACCCCTTGACCGCCACGAGCCCCATGTGGAGCCCCACTGCAGAAGGAGGCAGACCCCAGCTCAAGTCCCAGCTAGGCTTCATGCAAGCTAAAGCATGTGGGTGAAGGAACGTTCTCAGCCTCCCATTTGTACACGGGGATCACAGTGCTCGTGACGTCTCGGGGCGGGTGTGAGGGTTAAGTAAGTCATTGCACAGAAAAGCGCTTAAAGTGACACCTGATACCACGACTGGGGCTTCGTAGACCGGTAGTTATTGTTTATTACTTCTTCTACCCCAGTTGTCAAATAGCTACCGGAACATTGCTCAGAGAATCTCAAAGACTCGCTAGCCCCAAGACGCCCTCAAAGACACTGAGAAACACTCTCCCACCCAGCACACTCTTTTTAATGCCACGTGTTTAATCCTCATGGCAATTCTTTGAGGTCGTACCATTACTATCCCCACTTTGCCAATGAGCGAACTGAGACACAGAGAGGTTAAATGACTCGCCTAAAGTCACACAGCTAGTAAGTGTCAGAGCAGGGCCGGAGGCAGATGCCTGGATCCCCCACTGCCTTGTAGGAAACTCAAGTATGGGGCGTGGGGTGAGTGACTTCCTTTCACTGTTCCTTTACTCAGCGATCACTCCAGCCCCTGGTCCCTGGCCCCCCTCCTCTAGCCTTGAGGACAGTTGGCCTCAGACTAGGCTCTAAGTTGTTATCAAAGGCCTTCCTAGATCTCCAGACTTCCTGTTGCACCCAGCCTGATGCCAGGCTGCCCCTGCCCAGTGGCCAGGCTCCATGGCCTCTCAGGCCACAGGGCGCAGGCCTCCCTTCCTCGCCCCCTCCCTCCCATGTCCCGGCACTGCAGCTCCCCTGCCCCATGCTGGGCCCCAGGAAGAGAGGCCAGCTCCTCCGGGTGCTGAGTGTGCAGCCAGCACCAACCCAGAGCCCCGAACTGCAGGCATAAGGCCTTATAAGGCCTCCGGGGACGGGAAACCACATCAAAGCAGGGCTTGGGAGCCGGCTGGAGTTCGGTTGGGGTTTTTCCTCTTTGTCTTTGAGACTCCTACTCCTGAGCTTAATATCTTCCCCCCACCGCCTGCCCAGCAGCTCTTTGTCAATGTTTCTGTTCTCTAAGA